TTATCAGTGGTCTACCCTGCAAGGAAGGATTTAAGTTCTACAGGCAATGAAACTCAGTCCATCTCCTATTTTGTCCTGTACCACTGATCTCACTCTACCCACTGTTCACTAAGCCCCAGCCACATCATTCAATCTTTGCCACCCCACATACTTTCCTGCTCTCATTTCTTTGCTGGTGCTAATTCTTCTGCTTTAGTGATATTTTTTTCCATTTTTGCCTCGTAAATTACTACCTCTATTTTAAGACATACCTCAAATGTCACCTCTGAAAAGCCTTTATTGATATTACCACCAGCATTAGTCACTTCTGTTTCTGTTTGATGTTAAAATAAAATAAGGCAGTGCAATACTCAGTGGAAAAATGTTTGCCCTGACTACGAAGTTGGATATGAAGAAGGATAAAAGGGAAGAGGCTGATAAGATGGGGTAAAGATCAAAGACTCGGGGTAAAGACAAGGACAAACTCAGGTCCAGAGCACCCATACGAATGGCCTCCCTCAGCATGCAGGAGATGACCCCATATAGATGAGAAGATGCTGATATTACGCACAAAGATTTTTTTCAGAAATTTGAATACTAATTATTTGAAACAGCAGTATCTATCTTATCTGATACTAAGATGCAAGCTGCAGCTAAGTTCAAGAAAGAAACATAAACCTGTCATTGACTAAGAGCAATACTTAAGGCTAAGCTGTAGGAGCACTGGTTGGCCTAGTGGCAAGAAGCTGGGCTGCAATCCAAAGGCATGTGGTTCAAATCCACCAGCGGCTCTGTCGGATAAGGATAGGCAATATCCTCCTGTGTGATTAATAGTCTCTGAAAACCCACTGTAGGGTCAGCTGTTGGTCGGTTCTGAATCAACAGTACACGACAAGTTAACTAAGCTGTGCCTAACCCAAGCCATGGTACCTTCACTTGTTTCATAGGCACATGAAACCTGAACAATGAATAAATTACACTAAAAAATAACTAGTGACTTGAAATGATGGTATTAATGAAGCATGGGCAGCTAGAAGAGCAAAGAAATCTGTCTTATGAGAATACTAGTCAGCATGTACCTTGGAAGAGAGGATGGCAATACTTCATCTCACATACTTCAAAAATGTTAACAAAAGCAACCAAACCCTGGAAAAGGTCACCGTGTTTGATAAAGAATGTTAGTAAAAAAAAAAAGGAAAAATGGGATAAAATGTCATAGTGACAATGACAATGGGCTCAAACAAAGAAATTACTATAAGAATGCCATAAAATTTGGCCATGTTTTGTTTTGTTGTACGGATGCTGGAGACTATGCCTGCTCACACGGGGAGCTAACACAATGTCTTCTTGTTGTTTTATACTGTAGAATTGGAACCAACTCATAACTGACCCTCTGGTGCGTTTACAGCGTAAATAAATAGCACGGAAAGAGAATGGCCATCCTTATCTCATGGAGCAGCTGGGGCCTCGAACCACGTGCTTTCAGGATTGCAATGCAGCTATTTGCCTCCAGAACTCCAATGCGATGTCTAGAAAAGCAAATTTTCATGGGTTCCTACACCCCACTCATACAGACATACACACACAACCCCAAACAAAAAACTCATAAAAAATAAAACAAAACATAAAACCTAAACATCAGTTACAGTCAAGTCAGTTCCAAATCATGGCATGGTAACCAGTTGTGTCACAGTAGAACTGTGCTCCATAGGCTTTTCAATGGTTCATCTTCTGAAAATAGATCACCAGGTCTTCATTTCAAAGCACCTCAAGGTAAACTCAAACTTCCAAATTTTCAGTTAGCACATCAGTGCATGAACTGTTATACCATTGAGATACTCCCGTCAATACAGATGTCAATCAGTCAAGACTGTTTGCCTATAATATTAAACTACAAAACAAATGTAAATGCCGTTTAAAAGCTTCTTTTATTCTCTAAAAAAGTAAAAGTCTTAGCCTTGCTAATTTTTTCCCCCTGTGAAACACGAAAATATTTCCTTTCCCAGAAAAGTCTCTCAGAGATTTGAGCTGTCATTCAGGTTGGAGTAAGTCTTCCACTGAACAAACACATTCAAGACACTAAATTAATGAAATAAAACCATTGTTTTCCAGTCACCTAGAATTGTCATTTGATTAAATGAATTTATGGAGACCCCCACTGAGTGTCAGACACATTTGAAGTAAAAACAAAGCCAACCAGTTTATTTATGAAATCTTATTCATATTTAACATTTACTCATTCACCCAATACTTCATCAGAGTCCATTAGTGCCAGTACCTGTGCCGAAAGTGCCAGATGTCTAAAATACAATCTCACAGGGAGGACAGAAAACTAGATATAATAAGCAGTCCTGCCTTCAAGGAACTGTCTTCTTTCACATCTACTTTATCTTCATTTTCCACTGTTCCTTTAACACATAGTAATTCTTCCAACTTGAACTGCAAGCTTGCTTTTTGCCTGGCATCTCTGGTAATGAATGATTGACTAATGAATGATCAATAAGCTAACATGTTGAATCTTTTTTCTGTAACAAAGCTTTTTCTGTAATACAAGTAATCAGACCATAATTCAACCAAGCTGTGCACATCAATTTTCAGAGTAGCCTATCTCAATAATACAGTGAAGCACTTTTCCCAGGAAGCAAAAAAGGCAGCTGGGAGATGCGGACAGAAAGCCTGGAGAACCAACTGAAGCAGGTGGGGTGCTGCTTCTCTCCCTGGGGTCTTTGATCCCTGCTGAGCTCTTCTTTCCTGTTTATTTTTGATAAATGTTTAGGGTTAGGTAGGTAACCTGGGAATGAGTCATGCGAAATTGAAGGTCAAAATGTATTGACACAGAACATTTTCTTGAACTATGATGATTATATAAAAAGATAGACAAAAGCCTGGGGTTGGGCTTCCTCCATCAATCCCAAACATGAAATCAATCATAAAGAAATTTCAACTAGTCTTATGAGTCACAAAACTATTCATTTCTTTAAACTTGGCTTAATGTTTCCAAACCAGTCAAATACCACCTTGAAAGAAATAATTGATTGGGTAGTAGCATTTTAGCTTTGAAACTTGAATATAGTTACTTAAAATATGATAAATTTCCCCTGCCCTTGAAGTGCACTGTATAAATATTGTATTTGATCCTTAACTTACAGTTCATAAATAATTTATTTCAAAAATATTGCTCCATAAGACCATTGGTTGCTGAGGTGTTCAGTTCTCGGGGAAAGACTTTATTTACTGCATGAGCCCACGAAGGCTGGTAAAGACTTGGCTAAAAGCTCCACATGGAGCAAATTATAGCAATTGTATTAATGCTCACGTCTTGACAGACAGTGAGTCCACTGGAGATGTTTAACACTCCATATGAGGCTTCTGACATTCATGTTTCAGAATTCCAAGAACTGTGAAAGTATGTGTGGAGGTAACTTCCAGGGTATTTTCAGAAAGTCACAACTGAAAGTTAACCTCTCCTTAAGTGTCTTCTAATTTTGGTAGAGAAGGAACTACAAGCTCAGGTCACCAGAAATAAAAATCAAAGGAAACATTATACAATTAATTCTGATGAATGGGTAAGTTTTAATTCATGTACGGCAATATTCTAGTTAATGATATGTCTCCCTAGGACATCCATTAAAAACCCATTAACTTAACAGGCAAAAATCTAATAAAGTTACTCTGGAAATTTTCTGCTAGATTAACATTATGGACTTTTAATGAATATTTCCTGTAGGTATTGCTCTATTAGTAGAGTGAATATTCTAATTAACATGAATCTAATGTATGTGCATAAGGGAAAGAGCACAGAATTACTCAAATAATCAGAAAAAGAGAAATGTTAGACCCAAGTTACAAAGATGCTTCCAGTGTTAAGTCAACACAATTATAACTTTCACACACACACAAAAAAGTTGGCATCTCATACGAACTAATCATTTATTTGTTCACTTTCTAAACCTTAAACCTTTTAATGAAAGAAATAGTCAGCTGGCTACTAAAGTATACTAGGCCCTGTACTAGAACAGGGGATAGAAAAAGAATTAAGTGAAAATCCTGATGTCAGGAGCCCAGAGTCTAGTGTGGGAAGAAAACATATAAGCAAGTAACTACTATATGCCATGTTTTACAACTCACAGCGCCACTAGGCATAGTAGTTCTGAAACCTGCTCTATCCTTAGCCAAACAGCATGTGAATACTCAGAAACATCTAACTTTGGGGAAGACATAAAAGCTAAAATTCACTTAAACATTAAGTAAATAAAATTAAAATTTGTGCTCCAGCCAAGACACAGTTTGTTTTAGACAAGTTCAATGTGAGAGTTGTCGTATTGGCTTACCATTCATTGGTTTTGAGAATGTTGGTTCATGTTGGTTACAGAACATTACTTATCTCTTTAGATTCTAACTTAAAAACAGGATAACATTACGTCAGGCTGGTGGTACATGAAAGCACATAGAAGTGTGCTTGGAGCATAGAAATAAGGACTAGAATGTATTAATTGTCTGTTACAGGTGCATGATGAATATTAGTTGCCTTAGGCCAGTAAGATCTTAAGGAGCCTTGGTGGTGCAATGTGTAAGTGCTTGGCTGCTCATCAAAAGGTTGATGGGTCAAACCCATCAGCCACTGCACGAAAGAAAGATAATAGTATTATTGTATAAAAATTATAGGCTTGGAAGCCTGACAACTAACAACAACATATTACAAAGCAATTCCTAAAGTATGTATCACCACTATGTTTGTATAAGCTCTAAGACAAGGGTATACTAAGATAAACAGCCTTGCTGCTGTTGTTAAGTATCATCAAGTCAACCACAATCCATAGACACCCTATGAACAACAGATGCGTACCCTGTTCTATTCTGTACCATCCTTATCACCTTCAGTGATGTACGTATATAGCCTACAGTTTAAATTTTCCTACAGAAAGGTTAAGCCATCTTCCTAGATTTTAATTCATGTAATAGCAAAACAAAGCACATGGAAGACACACATAGTCATTATACAGATTTTTTTGCTCATTTACCTATTTTGATGTAATTATCAGCAACAAAGTCTTCCAAACCAATCATCTTCCAGAAGCTGTCATCCCAGCCTTTCTCTGCTGAGTATGTCCATTTGCACACCAGAGAACAGAGAGACCTAAGAGGATGGGGGAAAAGTAGAACCAAAATTAAGCTCCTTGATGCTTTGCCAGTAACTTCCCATACATCTATAGGAGCATTGAGGAAAGAAAATGAGATAAGTAAGTCTGTCTGTTCTGGTTAATAAGTTTGCATTTATATTTGCTGTTAACGATTTTGTCACTTCCAAAACAGTTCCCAACTTTTTATTTGATCCTGATAAAAAAAAATTGCATATAGGAATATTTGCATTTATATCTACATTTATTTACATGACATAGATAATCAGAAATAATAACACCAACTAGCCAATTGATAACAATACTATTAATAATTTTCAGGCATAATGTTGATCATTGTCAATATTCAAAAAAATGTTCTGTAAACATAGACTTCAATGCCGTAAACATATTTCATACAGCATTGAAGTCTATGGGGGAGAGAATAGTCTAAAAGTATTATATTTTAGGGCATTATTTTTATCGTAGGAGTATGCAATGAGGGTTGCAGAGTGGATTATATTTGGGGGTAGGGGGTGGGGTTTGGGGAGGCGCGGGGGGGGATTGTGTACCAATGAGGGAGGTTTTCTTTTCCTTTTCAAGGTTTCAAGGAGAGGAGCAAACGGGGGGAGGGGGGGAAGGGAGGAGGGGTTTGTGAGGGGAGAAGGGTGCAACAATGAATGAATGGAATTCCAAAATCTCTGTAGATGTTCATTGAAATGAAAAATAAACAACCTAAATTAAAAAAAATGTTCCTTATCATTTAAAGATATGTACAAAAATGTTACTGTACATAAGTATTTGGTATCAAGGATTTACTTCAAAATAACATGAGTGAAATCAGTGAGATGGTTAATGGGGTAGAACTGATCATTGATTAGTGATTGTTGGCAATAGATCATGGGTTTATTATGACTTTCATTGTTTTTAATTTTTTTCAAAATTTTCTTAAAATGTTTTACAATGTCTGGCATAGAAAATAAATTATATGCCCAATCTAGTCTAATGTAATATTTATTAGGAGGAAAAGGGGAATGCTAGAAGATGGTTTACACTCCAGCTTCATTTTAATCTATTTACTCTCAGTATTGTACATTCCCTGTCATTTGTCAGCTTGTAGTACTATGTTAACTTGTGTGATGCTGTGATGTTTAAAGCTATGCCACTAATACGTCAAATAGCAGCACGGTCACCCATTGTACATGGGTTTCAGTGGAACTTCCCGACTAAAATGCACTAAGAAGCAGTACGGGCCATCCACTTTTGAAACAACAGGCCTTAGAAAACACGGTGAAGAATGGAAGAACATTGCTGGATATTGTGCCAGAAGATGAGCCCTTTAGGTTGGAAGGAGTTTAAAATGTGGCTAGGGAACAGCTGCTTCTACACAATAGAATCCACCTTAATGGCTGGGATGGAGCAAAGCTTTCATCCAATGAAGGATAATCTTCTGCTGATGGACCAAGATGCAAAATGAAGAGAAACAGCACCAACCACCCATTAATAACTGGAATATGGAATGTATATGATTCTAGGAAAATTAGAAGCTGTCAGAAATAAAATGGAACACATAAAGATTGACATCCTAAGCACGTAAGATGTAAATAGGTTGGTATTAGTAATGTTTAATCAGATAGTCACATAATATATCATTCTAGAAATGACAAATTGAAGGAGGATGGTTTGACAGTAAAAAAAGAGAATCTGAAAGTTTATAATGCTGTGAGTGACAGTATACTATCCAAATGCATACAAGGAAATCTGCCTAACACAATGGTTATTCAAATATACACACCAATATAGGTTGGTGCACATAAAGGATTAAAAAATTGAAGATTCTACCAACTTTTGTTTTCCCCTTGAAGGCAAGGATTTTGAGACTACATCTCACATACTTTGGGCACATTGCCAGGAGGGACCACTCCTTGGAGAGTGACGTCACGCTTGGGAGGATGTATGGACAGTGCAAGAGAGAAAGACCCTGGATGAGATGGATTGATACAGTGACTGGGGTAATGGAGGTAAGTGTGTCAGAGACAATGAAATTGGCTCAAGAGATGGCAGGGTTCAGAGCTGCTGTGCATAGGGTTGCTATGAGTCACAGGTGACTTGACTTAATAACCACCACCACCAACTTTTGCAGCCTAAGAGTGATTGACCATGTAGTCAAGACGCAATAATAATAACTAATGACTGGACATTAATAACAACAAAAATATTGTACATCCCAGTAGTAAACTTGGGCAGTTCTATAGGAAAACCCCCAAAATACATTTCCTTTCTTAGTTCTTTGCTTTGATCCTACTCTGATATGTTTGGAAAATTCTTCACAGCATCTTCAGTGGTGAAAATGCAAACTTATCCTTCAGCCCAAGCTGAGACCCCAGTTCTGTTAGGTAATTGATCCCTCCTTCAGCTCCAAGAGCACAGGACAGCTTTTTTCAGTCTTGATCATTCTGTGTAATTAATTGGGTTTTTAAAAAATGTATTTCCTCATAGTCCAATTGCTTACCAATCTATTTTCTATATTATGTCCAGAGCAAACTTGACAAAAAGTCTGATCATATCAACATCAGCAAAAGGCTAAAGCTTTTAAAAATTGGCCTCTACTACCTTCAAGTTTCCCACAGTGGGACTTTATTTCTCATCTCCCAAGTGCTTTTCACCCTTGGCTTTGTTCTCCTTAGAATGTTATTTTCCTATTATTGTCAAACTCCCAAACAGTCTTATGACTCAGCTCAGATCATTTCCCTTCAGGAATCTGAGGTGAGGGGAGCACTTTTAATCCAGAGCCTCTATTCCAACTTCCAATATGGACATATACCTATCAGAACTCTTAGCGTAATAATTGTTTTAGTCTCTTTACTTCCCCTTCTCTTCTGCCAAGCCAAGAACTCTCTTAAACCAAAACCAGCCTTACTCTTTACTTGATCACCAATAAGTGGTTGAAGATCAAGACAGGGCAAGTCATAACCATTAATAAGCATTAAAGGATGATGTAGTTTATCTCATCACAGGTAAATTATACACATGGGGAACAAACACAGTTTTAAAGGTAAATCAAAATCAATTTTACAGGGTCAAATCTCTAGGCACATTTCATTTAACCATTCACATGGGCTGATTAGTTTACTCACTGCCCACTTTCTCGATACATAAAATTTAGCTATTGTCTGCTTTATGTACATGTGAAGCAAAACACTGATAGTTTTGAATTTGGGTTTTGGCAAGGTTCTTCTAAGAATCTGCACTGCAATTGCAAAGACACATGATTCAAATTCACCACCTTCTCAAGATCAGAGGGATGGGCAATTTCTTGTTATGTGATTATTAACAAGAGTATTGGACATCCCATGGACTGGCAAAAGATCAACAAAACTATGTTGGAAGAAGTACAGACAGAATACTCCCTAGAAGCAAAGATTGTGAGACTTCATTTAACATACTTTGGGCTTATTGTCCGGAGGCACTTGGAAAGGTGGAGGGTCTATGTGGCTCAGGGAGATCCTCAATGAGTAGGCTGACACAGGGACTGCAACAATGGGCTGTAGCACAGTGGAAACGGAGGATGAGTTTCATTCATAGAGGATTTCTATGCATCAGAGTGGACTCACGAGGACCTAAAATCTATGATACTGGCACTATGTGAGGTCCTGGAGAACCTATGAAACACAAAAGATCTAGGCCTCTACTCTAAGAGAAGCTGATAACTGAACAATAAAGGAAGCACATGAGAAATCATAACTTAACAGGGATAAATAATGTATATTGCATTGAAACAGAGAGAGAGACCTGATTAGGAAGAATATATTATTAAGTATTATTGTCATGCTAAGAATCCAGAATGAAAGCCACACAGTAGTGGGGACTGGGGTGGGGGGATTGTATAACAATAATTTTTTTTTTAACTTTTCAAAGAGAGAACTGAACTGATGGGGGTGCGTAGAGTGCGCAGGGAGGAAAGTGTACAAAAATGAATAAATGCTAATCTAAGAAAATATAAAAAAACAAACAAAACAAAACAAAAACCTTGACATAATATAGGAAAAATGGAAGGGAAGAAAGAAAATATCAATCTGTGCTACATTATGGAGTTGCTATTTTGCAGGGCTTGATATTTTATTTTAGGACACAAACTTTTTTAAAAAAAATTCATTCCTTTATTATTACACATTTTTCCCTTCCCCCCCGCCGCCTCTCCCAGTCCACTTTGCAATGCACCTCTTGTTCCAGATTATTGTCATACACATAATAGCTAATCATATACTCCTTTTGGACCATTTTTACTCTCATCTGTTCCAGTGCAATTTTCTTAGTCTATCCACTCTTTTTCCCTTCTTCCTCAAATTCCCCAAGCCAGTGCTATTTTACAACAATGGTGTTGTGCAGTATTTTTTAACTAAAAGAGTGTCATTATTACTAATTATTTTTCCCAGATGTGTGTCATAGATGATAGAGCATGATGAGTTGCATTAAGTGGCTGATATACTGAAGGACTGTCCTGTGGCAAAGGAAACTGAATAAAAGTGTTCATATTGTTCAATTGTTCACATTGTTCATATTATTTAGGCAAGAGAATTTTTATTTTTTGGCTATTCTTAGACAATCACCTATGTGGCATATTCTGAAGAGTATATAGTTGCTAACTCCTTGAAGCACTCTGCTTATCTAGCCCTACTGTCTGGCAGTTGTATCTACTAGCAAGTAGATACTGACTCAAAAGTTGACCTTTCAGTGGGTTACTGACATGAAAGCAGAGTGTCCACCTTTCTCACACAGAACAGTTGGTGGGTCTGAGCCACCAGAGACGCATGGCTTTCTGGTCAGCCGTGCTACTGTACCAGCGCTCCTGGGAAAGCATCTGAAATTCTACTTCTTAGAAGTTTTGGTATCTCATTGTACTCCCCCCCCCCACTCCAGAACAAAACACAGTGTGACTGAATTTTTTCCTTTATAATAAAATCAACAATAAAACCACACAGACTGTTTTTGTTGTTACTATCAAGTCGGAACTGACCCA